TTTTATTCGTATAAAATGACATTAAACTGTCTATGAGAGCGAGACGTCTAATTRTTTTAGTATAAACTTATCAACAGTCGCTCAAATAAATAGATACAAACAACTTGCCCCTCGGCATCCCATTTATTTATCAATCCTAAGTTCACAATATTTTACAGGGTTGTTATTCAGTAGATTGAGAAATGTTGCATCATTTCCTTGTGATGATATGATTGGCTGTTATGAATGCTATACCGATAACAGCCCATATAAGGACAAAGAATATCCAGGACCTCTGTCTAAACTTCGACCTGTGCTTATTATCATAACTATTGGCCAACTCTCTTAATTGCTTTCTAGCAAAGTAAACTAGTGTGGCTGGAATAATATATTGTACTCCAGTCCCGGCGTACGAACCAGTCACTCCTACTAATATTTCAAGGTTGTCCGTCGCGAATGCAACAGCGATTGGTGGTAAGATGGTCACAAGAGGGAAAACAATCTTGTCAATAACCCAAGGATATGGGTGTCCTGCGCGGTAGAATAGATTCTTAAGGTTGTCTCTGAGTGTTACTGAGATTATAGGAAAGTTGGTACTAAGAGTGAARACAGGGAATAGTGCTAGGAAATAATGAATGAATGGGTCATAAGCGTGGAAGTTGAGCGTGTATAGATCTAGGAGGTCATCGAATGCAAACATGGCTGAGAAGGATAGCAGTGAGTAGAACAATAAGATGATGCCAAAGTCCACTACAAATATCAAATTGACATGGGATTTGCTTTTCATTGGTGTTATGAAGGATGGGAGAGAGTGCTGGCACATAAACGCGTAGATGCAGACGCCGAATAAGTTTGGGACGCCACCGAAGTCTCCAGCACTGACGTGTAGATTCTTGCCTTTACCTTGATGAATGCGAATGAGAGCAAGGATGATCATCATCGAAAATGCTGTGAAAAGAGAATGCAAAGCAGATCTATTAACTGATAGGATTACATCAGACCTACCTAGCTGGGGCTTAATCAGTATTTTCTTACTTCATTCCCAACACGCCGATGGCATGTATAGAAGCTGACTTACAGCACGTACACGGTACGACATGTCGTTACATTTAAATGTCTTCCCATAAGAATGGTTATCGGATCAGTGGGAAACGTACAGTACTGACTTACAGCACGTACACGGTACGACATGCCGCAACAGTTAAATGGCTTCCCATAAGAATGGTTATCGGATCAGTGGGAAACGTACAGTACTGACTTACAGCACGTACACGGTACGACATGCCGC